CACTTTGACCTCCTCCTTGTGCACAAAGTTTGTGTTTGACGCCTCAAGAGCCTCAATAAGACGCCCTAGTATAACCAGCCTAGGCAACTCACGCCCAGCTCTCACCCACAGTATCTTGGCACTTTGACCTCCTCCTTGTGCACAAAGTTTGTGTTTGACGCCTCAAGAGCCTCAATAAGACGCCCTAGTATAACCAGCCTAGGCAACTCACGCCCAGCTCTCACCCACAGTATCTTGGGCACTTTGACCTCCTCCTTGTGCACAAAGTTTGTGTTTGACGCCTCAAGAGCCTCAATAAGACGCCCTAGTATAACCAGCCTAGGCAACTCACGCCCAGATCTCACCCACAGGATCTTGGGCACTTTGACCTCCTCCTTGTGCACAAAGTTTGTGTTTGACGCCTCAAGAGCCTCAATAAGACGCCCTAGTATAACCAGCCTAGGCAACTCACGCCCAGCTCTCACCCACAGTATCTTGGGCACTTTGACCTCCTCCTTGTGCACAAAGTTTGTGTTTGACGCCTCAAGAGCCTCAATAAGACGCCCTAGTATAACCAGCCTAGGCAACTCACGCCCAGCTCTCACCCACAGTATCTTGGCACTTTGACCTCCTCCTTGTGCACAAAGTTTGTGTTTGACGCCTCAAGAGCCTCAATAAGACGCCCTAGTATAACCAGCCTAGGCAACTCACGCCCAGCTCTCACCCACAGTATCTTGGCACTTTGACCTCCTCCTTGTGCACAAAGTTTGTGTTTGACGCCTCAAGAGCCTCAATAAGACGCCCTAGTATAACCAGCCTAGGCAACTCACGCCCAGCTCTCACCCACAGTATCTTGGGCACTTTGACCTCCTCCTTGTGCACAAAGTTTGTGTTTGACGCCTCAAGAGCCTCAATAAGACGCCCTAGTATAACCAGACTAGGCAACTCACGCCCAGCTCTCACCCACAGTATCTTGGGCACTTTGACCTCCTCCTTGTGCACAAAGTTTGTGTTTGACGCCTCAAGAGCCTCAATAAGACGCCCTAGTATAACCAGCCTAGGCAACTCACGCCCAGCTCTCACCCACAGTATCTTGGCACTTTGACCTCCTCCTTGTGCACAAAGTTTGTGTTTGACGCCTCAAGAGCCTCAATAAGACGCCCTAGTATAACCAGCCTAGGCAACTCACGCCCAGCTCTCACCCACAGTATCTTGGGCACTTTGACCTCCTCCTTGTGCACAAAGTTTGTGTTTGACGCCTCAAGAGCCTCAATAAGACGCCCTAGTATAACCAGCCTAGGCAACTCACGCCCAGCTCTCACCCACAGTATCTTGGGCACTTTGACCTCCTCCTTGTGCACAAAGTTTGTGTTTGACGCCTCAAGAGCCTCAATAAGACGCCCTAGTATAACCAGCCTAGGCAACTCACGCCCAGCTCTCACCCACAGGATCTTGGGCACTTTGACCTCCTCCTTGTGCACAAAGTTTGTGTTTGACGCCTCAAGAGCCTCAATAAGACGCCCTAGTATAACCAGCCTAGGCAACTCACGCCCAGCTCTCACCCACAGTATCTTGGGCACTTTGACCTCCTCCTTGTGCACAAAGTTTGTGTTTGACGCCTCAAGAGCCTCAATAAGACGCCCTAGTATAACCAGCCTAGGCAACTCACGCCCAGCTCTCACCCACAGTATCTTGGGCACTTTGACCTCCTCCTTGTGCACAAAGTTTGTGTTTGACGCCTCAAGAGCCTCAATAAGATGCCCTAGTATAACCAGCCTAGGCAACTCACGCCCAGCTCTCACCCACAGTATCTTGGGCACTTTGACCTCCTCCTTGTGCACAAAGTTTGTGTTTGACGCCTCAAGAGCCTCAATAAGACGCCCTAGTATAACCAGCCTAGGCAACTCACGCCCAGCTCTCACCCACAGTATCTTGGCACTTTGACCTCCTCCTTGTGCACAAAGTTTGTGTTTGACGCCTCAAGAGCCTCAATAAGACGCCCTAGTATAACCAGCCTAGGCAACTCACGCCCAGCTCTCACCCACAGTATCTTGGGCACTTTGACCTCCTCCTTGTGCACAAAGTTTGTGTTTGACGCCTCAAGAGCCTCAATAAGACGCCCTAGTATAACCAGCCTAGGCAACTCACGCCCAGCTCTCACCCACAGTATCTTGGGCACTTTGACCTCCTCCTTGTGCACAAAGTTTGTGTTTGACGCCTCAAGAGCCTCAATAAGACGCCCTAGTATAACCAGCCTAGGCAACTCACGCCCAGCTCTCACCCACAGTATCTTGGGCACTTTGACCTCCTCCTTGTGCACAAAGTTTGTGTTTGACGCCTCAAGAGCCTCAATAAGACGCCCTAGTATAACCAGCCTAGGCAACTCACGCCCAGCTCTCACCCACAGTATCTTGGCACTTTGACCTCCTCCTTGTGCACAAAGTTTGTGTTTGACGCCTCAAGAGCCTCAATAAGACGCCCTAGTATAACCAGCCTAGGCAACTCACGCCCAGCTCTCACCCACAGTATCTTGGGCACTTTGACCTCCTCCTTGTGCACAAAGTTTGTGTTTGACGCCTCAAGAGCCTCAATAAGACGCCCTAGTATAACCAGCCTAGGCAACTCACGCCCAGCTCTCACCCACAGGATCTTGGGCACTTTGACCTCCTCCTTGTGCACAAAGTTTGTGTTTGACGCCTCAAGAGCCTCAATAAGACGCCCTAGTATAACCAGCCTAGGCAACTCACGCCCAGCACTCACCCACAGTATCTTGGGCACTTTGACCTCCTCCTTGTGCACAAAGTTTGTGTTTGACGCCTCAAGAGCCTCAATAAGACGCCCTAGTATAACCAGCCTAGGCAACTCACGCCCAGCACTCACCCACTGTATCTTGGGCACTTTGACCTCCTCCTTGTGCACAAAGTTTGTGTTTGACGCCTCAAGAGCCTCAATAAGACGCCCTAGTATAACCAGCCTAGGCAACTCACGGCCAGCTCTCACCCACAGTATCTTGGGCACTTTGACCTCCTCCTTGTGCACAAAGTTTGTGTTTGACGCCTCAAGAGCCTCAATAAGACGCCCTAGTATAACCAGCCTAGGCAACTCACGCCCAGCTCTCACCCACAGTATCTTGGCACTTTGACCTCCTCCTTGTGCACAAAGTTTGTGTTTGACGCCTCAAGAGCCTCAATAAGACGCCCTAGTATAACCAGCCTAGGCAACTCACGCCCAGCTCTCACCCACAGTATCTTGGGCACTTTGACCTCCTCCTTGTGCACAAAGTTTGTGTTTGACGCCTCAAGAGCCTCAATAAGACGCCCTAGTATAACCAGCCTAGGCAACTCACGCCCAGATCTCACCCACAGGATCTTGGGCACTTTGACCTCCTCCTTGTGCACAAAGTTTGTGTTTGACGCCTCAAGAGCCTCAATAAGACGCCCTAGTATAACCAGCCTAGGCAACTCACGCCCAGCTCTCACCCACAGTATCTTGGGCACTTTGACCTCCTCCTTGTGCACAAAGTTTGTGTTTGACGCCTCAAGAGCCTCAATAAGACGCCCTAGTATAACCAGCCTAGGCAACTCACGCCCAGCTCTCACCCACAGTATCTTGGGCACTTTGACCTCCTCCTTGTGCACAAAGTTTGTGTTTGACGCCTCAAGAGCCTCAATAAGACGCCCTAGTATAACCAGCCTAGGCAACTCACGCCCAGCTCTCACCCACAGTATCTTGGGCACTTTGACCTCCTCCTTGTGCACAAAGTTTGTGTTTGACGCCTCAAGAGCCTCAATAAGACGCCCTAGTATAACCAGCCTAGGCAACTCACGCCCAGCTCTCACCCACAGTATCTTGGGCACTTTGACCTCCTCCTTGTGCACAAAGTTTGTGTTTGACGCCTCAAGAGCCTCAATAAGACGCCCTAGTATAACCAGCCTAGGCAACTCACGCCCAGCTCTCACCCACAGGATCTTGGGCACTTTGACCTCCTCCTTGTGCACAAAGTTTGTGTTTGACGCCTCAAGAGCCTCAATAAGACGCCCTAGTATAACCAGCCTAGGCAACTCACGCCCAGCTCTCACCCACAGTATCTTGGGCACTTTGACCTCCTCCTTGTGCACAAAGTTTGTGTTTGACGCCTCAAGAGCCTCAATAAGACGCCCTAGTATAACCAGCCTAGGCAACTCACGCCCAGCTCTCACCCACAGTATCTTGGGCACTTTGACCTCCTCCTTGTGCACAAAGTTTGTGTTTGACGCCTCAAGAGCCTCAATAAGACGCCCTAGTATAACCAGCCTAGGCAACTCACGCCCAGCTCTCACCCACAGTATCTTGGGCACTTTGACCTCCTCCTTGTGCACAAAGTTTGTGTTTGACGCCTCAAGAGCCTCAATAAGACGCCCTAGTATAACCAGTCTAGGCAACTCACGCCCAGCTCTCACCCACAGTATCTTGGGCACTTTGACCTCCTCCTTGTGCACAAAGTTTGTGTTTGACGCCTCAAGAGCCTCAATAAGACGCCCTAGTATAACCAGCCTAGGCAACTCACGCCCAGCTCTCACCCACAGTATCTTGGGCACTTTGACCTCCTCCTTGTGCACAAAGTTTGTGTTTGACGCCTCAAGAGCCTCAATAAGACGCCCTAGTATAACCAGCCTAGGCAACTCACGCCCAGCTCTCACCCACAGTATCTTGGGCACTTTGACCTCCTCCTTGTGCACAAAGTTTGTGTTTGACGCCTCAAGAGCCTCAATAAGACGCCCTAGTATAACCAGCCTAGGCAACTCACGCCCAGCTCTCACCCACAGTATCTTGGGCACTTTGACCTCCTCCTTGTGCACAAAGTTTGTGTTTGACGCCTCAAGAGCCTCAATAAGACGCCCTAGTATAACCAGCCTAGGCAACTCACGCCCAGCTCTCACCCACAGGATCTTGGGCACTTTGACCTCCTCCTTGTGCACAGGAACCCTCGATATCCTCATGAATACCCGTCTAACACACACGAACGACTTCCCAGCTCTCACCCACAGGATCTTGGGCACTTTGACCTCCTCCTTGTGCGCAAAGTTCTCTGCTGTCAGCTCTGCGTTGCGCCCCTCCTTCTCAAAGTCTGAAAGTTTACAATCACGAGGACAAACAAGAGGGACGGATGGGATAAGAGAAGAAGCTACAACTTCAGAGGGAATTCCAAAAAATAAAACTTAGCAGGCCCGAATTTGGCTCCGAGTTGAATAAGAAAACACAAGGGTGTGGCAAGAACGGAGACACGCACGATCCAGAAGCATGGAGAACTGAGTTGCTGCTGAAGGTTGTCTGTGGACCGAGGCCCGATCCAGAAGCATGGACCCATTGCTTGATTCACAGCGATAGCCACGCTTCTAGGTGACGTTTGAGTCGACTCAAAAGTCACCTCGATCCAGGGGCATGGAGAACTGAGTTGCTGCTGAAGGTTGTCTGTGAGGACCGAGGCACGTTCCAGAAGTATGGACCCATTGCCTGATTTACAGCGATAGCCACGCTTCTTTCGAGTCGAGTCAGAAAACACAAGGGTAGGTAGGCGAAGGATGGACACTTGCACGCACCAAGTTGCTGCTGAAGGTTCTCCTGAAACTGAGGCACGATCCAGCTGAATTGGTAGTTTGGAAATATCTGCACGATACACAAGGACGCGAGGCAATAGGAAGGCATAACATGCAGCAGACAATATATCAGCAGAGGAGAAAGGAAGCACGGGGGGAGAGGCAACAGGAAGGCATAACATGCAGACAATATATCAGCAGAGGAGAAAGGAAGCGCGGGGGAAGAAGCAACAGGAAGGCATAACAGCAAGCGAGGAAGGAAAGCGGAAAGCATGCATTGGCTTGGGTGGACCTAATACGTGCGCCTCTTAGTGCATTGGGTGCGCCTATACAGCATAGGTAGATTCGACGTTAGTTTCCTGACCTTAGTGTCATGATGGGTACATTCCAGCAGAAACAGTGGGAAATAGGGAAACGATTGGCGGGCAAGTCTCTTAACCGCTTGCCATATGCTTGACTCAAAACGAGTAGAACGTCTGAACAGCGTCAAGACTCACCCATTTGACAGCCCGCGAGAGAAAGCCCATGGTGTAGATGTCCGTTGCTACCTGCTCCTCCAGCCGTGGATATTGCACCTGAGAGAACGAGAGAGGGGAGGGAGGCAGGTGGGGAAAGAGTGGGCTGGGAGCGAATAACGAGCCGACAGGAAGGAGACTAACCCAGCCCATGGTGTAGATGTCCGTTGCTACCTGCTCCTCCAGGCGAGGGTACTGCACCTGAAGACGAAAAGCATAAGGGGATGAGAGAGGGAGGTGCAGGGGATGAGAGAAAGACCATGGTGTAGATGTCCGTTGCTACCTGCTCCTCCAGACGTGGGGACTGCACCTGAACAGTGAGAGAGAGGGAAGCGAAATGGGGTGAGAATGGGTTGCAGGGGATAAAAAGCTAAGGGCTGGGAAGAGTAAGGAAGCCCATGGCGTAGATGTCCGTTGCTACGTACAGCCATGCATCTATACAGTTACACACCGTTCAGCCACGCATGCAGCACCCACCTTCACAGCCGCTTGCTGCCCTGACCTGACGGCAGTGTCGCTCAGTGCTTGTGAGGCAGCATGCAAACACTCGCACCCGTTTACACAAACACACATGCACAACGTGATACAACACAGCCACATACCTTCACTGCTACTTCCTGCCCTGACGGCAGTGTCGCTCGGTGCACCTGCGCTAGTGATGCCGCTGCTATCGCCTCCTCCTCAAAATGCACAAAACTGAGAGGGCAGCACGGTCAACAACAGCAACACAACAGAGTCACAAAGTAACGCACACAAAAGTCTTTTTTGAGGCGCAAACCTCCTTAAAGTGCACAAAGCTGAGAAGGCACCACGGTCAACAGTGACACCGTAGGGCCACAAAGCAGCACAAACAGAAGAGATGATGAATGCACGATAACCTATTACAGCAACGTTTTGAGCCGGTCATGCACTCTCATGATTCACACTGACACACCCCCACCGCACAGCACACCTCCTTCACCACACCCACATCTCCTTGGCACTCTTGCCGAATTCCTCCTTGAACGCGCGGTCAATCACATTGAGTGCAGAGCAATACTCTGAGTGATGACGCAACCACATGGTTCCTTCACCACACGCACACCTCCCTCACCACACGCACACCTCCTTCACCACATGCACACCTCCCTCACCACACTCACATCTCCTTGGCACTCTTGCCGAATTCCTCCTTGAACACGCGGTCAATCACATAAAACGGACGGCCCCGAGCCTGCAAGAAGAACCAGCCAGGGCAGAGCAGTGAACAAGGCAAGTCTCTCATAATCCTTTCTTCCACCCACACACGGCCAATCACACTGAGCTGAGCACACGACCCCCACCCCAGCCTTGAACTGCCGTGCGTTGATGTGAATGTCCCATGCGCTTGAAATCCCCCGATCCTTCTAACCCCACTTGGGGATTTCTGACAACGGGCTAAAAGCGTGGGGTTCAGGTTTCTTCAGTGTACCTGATCCTGCAGCACAGTGATGCATGTTCTCGAGGGGTCGCAAAAAACTGCCCCCTTTTGATGTAAATGCCAACGCCACGATTTGCCTCGAGATTTCCCAGTTGCCCCAGCTTGAGGGTTTATGACAAAGGGTTCAAAGTTCAAAATTTAGATTTTTTCCCAGCACCTGATCCTGCAGCACTGTGAGGGTCGTGCGGTATTCCTGAGGCAGCTGCTGCCGAGTGGCAATGAGCTGCCCCGCCTTGATGTAGATGCCACGATTAGCCTTGAGATTTCCCAGTATCCCTCACCCCAGATTGAGCGCTTGTGGCACAAGGTTCAAGGTTCAGGGTTTAGGTTTCTTCAGCACACCTGGTCCTGCAGCACAGTGAGGGTCGTGTGGTAATCCCAAGGCAGCTGCTGCAGAGCGGCAATGAATCGCCCTGCTTTGATGTCAATGCCGAAATTTGGCTCGAAACCACAGATCGGGCGTTTGTGGCAAAATCTTCAAGGTTCAGGGTTTATTTTTTTCACTCCACCTGATCCTGCAGCACAGTGAGGGTGGTGCGGTACTCCCGAGGCAGCTGCTGCAGAGTGGCAATGAACTGCCCTGCTTTGATGTAGATTCCACGATTCGCCTCGCACAGCCGCAGAATCCTGTCCGCTGATCGCTGGTGGATCTGATGGTGTGGAGTGAGGGATAGAGTGAGAGGGGTTGGGTGGAGGAAGGAAGGAAGGAGAAAAGAATGGAAGCCAGCAAGCTATCAAGCAAGGAAGGAGGCAAGAAAGGAAACCTTCACTTGAAGCCCTCACTAAAAGCCCTCACATGACATTTTATTCTGTCTCAGGCCCACCTGGGACCAGATTCGTACACATTCTGCTGGCGCTACTCTTTTGGAGTCGAATCGAAGCCATAATCTCTCAGTCGGTCTAAGACCCACCTCTGACCGGATCCGTGCATATTCTGCTGGCGCTTCTTTCTTGAGCTTATCCAATGAATTGGTCAATGCCGACACCTTGTAGTCGATGCTGTTAATAGCGAACTGCAAATGAGGGGAGGAATGCATGACGGAGGAACGGAACAGAGGAGCGAACCACGTGGCCAATAAAACCACTTTCAGCTCTTCGTTTACTATCTATCACAAACGTTCAGCTATCAATTCGTACATTAACAATATGTCGTTAAAATGTCACTAATTCTTGACAAGCCAAGCTGCAAAAGGATATGTGGGATCATATCCCTCCTTCTTCCAGGCATCACAATCAAAGAATTGCGCTGGTAGGGAATAACGATTGTGGACAGCAATCATGGATCGCCATTTCCCTTCTCCAGTCTCCCCTCTCTCACGTTAATCAGGGAATAACGTTTTATTGGAATATGCAGTCACGGATCGTCCATTTCCTCATCCAGTCTCCCCTCACTCACCGTTCCCACGGCTCTTGACGATCTCACGATCCCATCTGCGCTAAGCATCAGCCGCTTAACATGCCGGCTGTCAGTCTTCAAACCGCCGTCTGTCGCTGCTATGGCGGCTCCGCCGGCACCCAGGCTTCCCAGCACGAGAGCTCCGACGATCCCGGCTGGCCTCTTAGCAAGAGCTAACGCGCCTCGTCTTAAAGTGGTTAACATGGTGAGTTGAATAGTGAGGTGTACACTACATATTTGAGACCTAAAGTCACATGCACACTACGTCCTAAGGGACTGTAGCTACTGGTGCTATGCGATCGAGATGCGAGAAGAGTTGAGAGTCTAGAAGGTCAGATAGACTGTGAGCTGACCCGACGATCAGCTTGAAACTTCGTCTAGAGCTGCCTGAAGTAGTTTTGCTACGCGAAGACAACCAGATGGTGACACTAGCAGGGCGGGTCCATATTAGGAGGACAGAATTCCGTGAAACACGGAAGCTGCTATGATCACGTACAACAACGGAAGACAAAGCCGAAGGTTCCAGCCTGATCAAACCGTCTCTTCCTGATCAAGTGGCATCTTTCCTTTGGTGCTGAAATATACTCCATATAAGCTCACCTCCTCTCACTGAAGCACCAAAATTACAGTTTCTGCTGTACAACGTAAAACGAAATGCTTCCACTTTCTGTATCTCTGGAGCCTTCGTGCGCGGAAAGAATCCGATTGGCCACAATGTGAAGCCGACGTGGCTGGAATATTTGAGGACCAATGTCGGCGTGAAAATCGCGGGAATAAGGGCATTCAGCGCGTCGGGAGAGCTCCGCTTGTGAGTCCAACCCTACCTGACCTAATTGAACCGTATTAGAGTGATCTCACACGAGTGAGTGAAGTGAGTCTGCATGCTGCCTTGAATCACCTGCGAAATTGATGTACAACGGAAAGGACCTACCATACCGTACAAAAACCTTCAGAACCTAGGCGAACCACTCTGACTTTAGGGGCTCGAGTTTTTCTAGTTAACTACGAGAGGGTCGCAGTTCCAAAACAAGCTCGTCCGTGGATCTGTTGCGCTGTGAATCTATTAGTATTTTTTTCGCACTGAGCAGCCTAACAGCAGATGATGCCTGAATAGTATACTGTCTGTCACCACGTTGCGATCGCTCATTCGCGATCGCACTGAGATCAGCTCGGCGAGTTTTCTACCGGGATCCCCGCAGTGATCGAGCAACAATTATTCTGTAACGTCCATTTGGACCGGTTGTGTCCAGTTTTCTTCGCGGTATTTTGCTTTAAGTGCTCAGCACTTTTTTTTGCCGCGATTCGTTTCAGGGACACAAAAAGTCTACAATTTTTATCATCACTTCGCCGATACTCAATCACAGTTAATATACGAATTCCTTGTTCAGGAGTTATCAACCTTGAGATATATTCTGCTATTTTAGTTGTCACAGCTAGTATCCCGAAGAAATCATCCAGCTATGACTGGACTCTTCACTCTACCGTCATCCAGTCAAGCCCTTCAACCACTATGGAAGGTGCGTGGTTCGTGTCAAGGTTACTTTTGTGACCGACTCTTGAGTCGACTTAAAATCCACCAACTCCTCACTCCGTTCAACTAGTCAAGCTTTTTAACCACGATGGAAGGTGCGTGTTTTATGTAAATTTTGAGGCGACTTTTAAGTCGACTCAAAAGTCACTTTGTTCCACTCATGGCTGGACTCGCGTCCCACCAACTTCTCACTCTACCTTCAACTAGTCAATCTAGTCAACCTCTACGGAATGTTCGTGATTCATGTGAAGTTTGAGATCAACTAAAAGTCAGTTCGTCCAGTGACGCGTTCAAACGTTACAAGCGCTTCGTAGTTCATGTAACTTCGTCATGCGTGTATTACTCCGTTATCCCGCCATACTGATGGACATATTCGGTCTATTTGCAGGGAAACACCTCGTCGGCGCCTCCCCGCAGGGCTTTTCTCAAAACCTCTCCATCCCGATTCTGTTCAGTCAAATCCGTCCGTCCATCTGTGCGGGCCGAAGCCTCTCCGCAGTCCCAGTCAGGTAACAAGCACAATCAACAATCTTACGGAGTCATGTACTAAATCAATCCGCTTGACCTGCCTCGTGCTTGACTCATGCTTTTGCTGAATGCTATAAGGCAGTTTAACACAGGCATTCCCTGTGTTTTCATGCTCGTGCCCCCTCTCTGCTTGCAGCTCCCGTCACTGCTGCGTCCGCGTCAGCAGCAGCTTCGCCACCAGCAGCTGAGGAAGAGGCTCAAGCACGAAGGAACAACACGAGTAGCAGCATCAGCAACAGGAACAGCAGAAGCAGCAGCACCACCAGCAGCAGCAGCAGCACTGGCAACCGCACCGTCGCAGGGGAAGACCATTTTTCAGCCGCATCAATCGCCACTACGCTGCAACTCACAGGAGGATCCCTGGGGTTCGCTGGAGCAACGTCGCCCCTTGTCCCGGCAGGCCCGGGCCAGGCGAAGCAGGCTCGGCAGGAGAAGCGGATCGTGCTGATCAGGCACGGGCTGAGCTCGTGGAACGCAGAGGGGCGCGTGCAGGGCCGGTCGGACGAGTCTGTTCTGTCGGAGACAGGCGAGATCCAGGCGCTGCGATGCAGAGAGGCTTTAAGGGATACGCACTTCGACTGCTGCTACTCCAGCCCGATTTCGCGAGCAAAGGTGAGGCACAGGACGGGTATGGTGTGGGAGGGATGAAGGAGAGGAGGAGGGGAGAGACGCGCATTGTGCTTATCAGGCGCGGGCTGAGCTCGTGGAATGCGGAGGGGAGAGTCCAGGGCCGGTCGGATGAGTCTGTTTTGTCGGAGGCTGGCGAGTTTCAGGCGCTGAGGTGCAGAGAGGCGCTGAGGGATACCCACTTCGACTGCTGCTACTCCAGTCCGATTTCTCGAGCTAAGGTGAGACATGCAGACGTGCAAGGCAAGGCACGCTGTTGTGGTATGGATGAAGGAGGCGGAGACTCAGGGCTGGGCTGACGAGTCTGTTCTGTTGGAGACTGGCTAGATCCAGGCGCTGCGGTGCAGAGAGGCGCTGAGGGATACTCAGTTTGACTGCTGCTACTCCAGCCCCATATCACGAGCCAAGGTAAGGCATGCTGGGGTATGGATAAAAGAGGGACAAATTCAGGGCTGGGTTCATGAGTCTGTTCTGTCGGCGACTGGGGAGATCTAGGCGCTGCGATGCAGAGAGGCTTTAAGGAATACGCACTTCGACTGCTGCTACTCTAGTTCCATATCGCGGGCTAAGGTGAGACGTGCAGATGTGCAAGGTGAGGCGTGCTGGGTTTTATGGATGAAGGAGGGGAGGAAGGTAAGACATGCAGATGTGCAGGTGAGTCAGATGGACGCAGGACAGAGTGGGGCGAGTACAAAGCCGGGATGACGTTTGATTCGACTCAAAAGGCATTTCGACTGCTGCTAATCTAGCCCCGCGAGCCAAAATAAGATGCAGATGAGTCAGATTGACGCAGGGGAGGAGGAGGGCAGAGTGGGGCGAGTGCGTCACCCCCATCAAAGCAGTGCATTACCTGGGAGGGGCGCAAGGAGCCTCTCGTAGTTCTGGAGTTTGCATTTCAAATCTCCCCACCCTCACACTCCCCGCTATCCCCCTTTCCCCCCACGTTCTCCCCCCCTATCAGAGCAGTGCATCACCTGGGAGGGGCGCAAGGGAGCCTCTCGTGTTTCTAGAGGTTGCGTCTAATATCTCCCCAACCACCCAACCCCCCACTCCCCTCTTATCCGCTTCCCCTCGCGTACTCACCCCCCATCAGAGCAGCGCAGAGATCATTTGGGAGGGGCGCAAGGAGCCCTCTCATATTCGACCCCCTCTCCCCCCCCCAAACCCCCACTTGCGCTTTGTTGCCATCAGAGCAGCGCGGAGATCATTTGGGAGGGGCGCAAGGAGCCTCTGGTGTTCTTGGACTCCCTTAGCGAGGCCCACCTGCACTTTCTTGAAGGCATGCTCAACTGTGAGTGGCAGGGCAGGGCTTGTTGTAAGGGGGATATATATTGTGACTGTAACTAGCTAGCTTTCTGAGCGAGGCCTACCTGCGCTTCCTGTGTGGCTCTCCTGCTTTATTCTTGTCATCTTTTCCAACACTCTTATTCCCTTTGCTTCTCACCCGCTGCCCCTGCTTCCTCTTCACTGCTCTTGCCGAACCTCCAGCCGAAGCTAAGCGGCTGTATCCGGACCTGTTCCGAGCCTGGCGAGAAGATCCGGCGAACTTCTGTGTGGATGGGGTGTTTCCGGTGCACCAGCTGTGGGATCAGGCCAGAGACACGTGGCGAGAGCTGCTAGAAAGCCCAGTGAGTGTGACTGTAACGAAGGTTCCTGGTACTATAACATGCATGTTTCTGTTCTAAGGTGGATGGGGTGTTTCCGGTGCACCAGCTGTGGGACCAGGCTAGGGACACGTGGCGAGAACTGCTTGAAAGCCCTGTGAGTGTGACAGTAACGAAGGTTACTGTTACTGTACCAAATGGTATTATACTGAGTATTTTCCTGATTTAGTGTGAATGGGGTGCTTCTGGTGCACCAGCTGTGGGACCAGGCTAGAGACACATGGCGAGAACTGCTAGAAAGCCCTGTGATTGGTACTATGGCGAGTGCTATTACACGGAGTAGTTTTCTGCTGTAATGTGGATGGGATGTTTCCAGTGTACCAGCTGTGGGAAAACAGAAGTGTTTTGAGACGTCTCAAAAGCTTTCTGCTGTAATGTGGATGGGATGTTTCCAGTGTACCAGCTGTAAGACCAGGCTAGAGATACGTGGCGAGAGCTGCTTAGAGCCCAGTGAGTGTGACAGTAACGAGTTGTACTACCACAGGAGTCTATCCACGCAGGGCTCCGACACACAAGTCCTCGAAACACACAAGTCTCGGCTGAGAGCTTTGCATTGCCCTGCTGTGAGCTTTGCATTGCCCTGCTGAGAGCTTTGTTCTGTTGTGAAGCCCTGCGATTGCCACTGCCCCTGCTCCTGCCCCTGCTCCTGCCACTGCTACTACCACTGCCACTTGTGCTCCTGCCCGTCCTCCCATGCAGGGAGCTGCCAGTCCCTGCTGAGAGAGCTGCTCTGCTCGGCATTGCACTGCTCTGCTCTTCCATTCACGTCATCCCATTCGTATGAGTGCAATCTCAAGGACATGCTGCCATTGCGCCCTGCCCTCATCCCATGCAGGGCTCTCAGATTTTGGTCGTCACACACAAGTCCCTGTTGAGAGCGCTGCTCTGCACTGCTCTTGGCATGGGCCCTGACAAGTAAGAGATTTTAAATGCGCCCAGGAGGGTTAGATTTTGATTTTTGCAGGAAATGTTCTGTGCCTTCTGTTATGGGAACGAGAGGGGGGCTCTTGAGTGATCCCAGGAGGGTTAAACGGGGTGAAATACCTTGGGGAAGAGGATGTCACAACAAGTTTCCACTTCTGAGCCTGGTGATTTTGAGACGTCTCAAAAACACCCTCGCTATACAAGTCTCCACTTCTGAGCCTAGTGATTCCAGACCGTTACGCATAGGTGTCTGATATAGTACGCTTTAGACTGTCTTCCCCTTTCTCTCTCACATTTCTCAGTCTGCCCCTTGTCTTTCTCTATCAGGCCCCTTTTTTCCACAACTTTTCCCTTCCCTCGCTTTCTGTTACCCCGCACTTGTTTCACTTCCCCCATACCAGGTTCAGGGCAATGGATGTCAACAATGGGGGCATGTGTGTGGTGATGGTGAACAGTAGAGGCGAGCCCATGGTTGAGAGCCTGAATGTCACGGCGCATCTACAGTCACATGCAATTAGTTACCACTTCAAACAGTAGAGGCGGGCCGTTGGCTGCAACAGGAGATATGGTGAGATGGCAACCGAACCCAATGTGGGCTCACACACTGTTTCTCTACAAACTCATACCGTATCCTCATAAGGGCCTGCTAGTTTCCATAACACTTATACATGTACACCGTCCATGTGTTGCGGTACTGGCTGTGGATTCTGCAGTGCTCTAAACATACGGTACCTGCGAAACACATATGTATCATTAAATGGAAGATAACTAGTAACAGCGGGATGTTTGAATGAGGTGTTGTCACCTGAGTCATATATACATGTTCGATTATAAGGTGGGCAGGACAATACGCGACCTATGGCCGCCACTGTGCGTCTTTCGCGAATGAATTTGCTTCTGACGTGGGGTCGGACAAAAGGATGCCTGTACACGTCATTCGTGGGTAACAGCGTTATCGTCAACAATCTGTAACAGATGGAACAAGTATTGCGAGTTTCGCTTAGGCAGCAACGACAATCGTTACGACACTAAGCGCAAACGCTCAACCTGCTCAAACCAATCCCAAGAGCCTATTCGCCTGTCACGTTGTGTTACGGGCGTTTGCCATTTGAGACGCATTTCATCTCGTCATATCTCTTCGATATCAACTTCTGTCGTGTCTAGCTTGCTGTTCTGGCTTATTATATTCTGGTGAAAGTTATCTGCACACAACGATCCAATGTCCGCTAGCGTTGGGATAGAACCACAGTAGAGCATCTGAACGGAGACACGCAGTCCCTCGGGCAACCTGGTTTTATTACGAGCCGTCACCACGACTAGGGTGGCTAGGCCTTCTATTGTTCCGAACTAAATTTTTTCTTGCGTTCCAACAAAACACTTCTCGTAAGGACGCGTTATAAACAAATCGGAGTGGAGAAAAGTCATAATCAGGGATGTATAAGTAGGGTAATGGTTATGAGATACATCAACCATAAAGTGGGGACCAGGCGTTAAGGGTTTATTCTACTCAAGTCAGTTTTCATATGGAATAGGGGTTTAGTTTGTGCCCGCGGGCAGATGACTGCGGGAATTCGGTGCTTATTTCGGCAGGTCCATTTTCGGCGTGGGTGTCGGCTACCACGTGCGCTTCCGCGCCGGCGACCAGGCAAACCGCGGCAGAAACATTACGTAACTGCACAACCCATTACAGCATGCTTATAACCAGTCACTCATTGTGAAACAATGCCATTCGTGTCTCGTCTAGCGGGAAATTTGCCCCCTGAGACTGCTGGCTGCAAATTTGACTCAAATTTCGGAAATTTATTCCAACAGACAATCGAGAAATCTTCAACGTCCACCAGAGGCCCTCTCGATCATCGTAGTTACTTCTTTTTTCCCATGGCGCATGCGGTCGCTGCTTCTGCTATTCGCAGTCCTGGCATTCCTGTTCTCACGGGAATTCCAAGGCCAGCTGGGATAGCCAGCGCCACAATCGGACTCCCCTCTCGATGCAGTCACATGCCGAACCGAATCCGCCAAGTGTCACCCCGACAGGAGCGAGCCTCGTCCGCCATTAGTAGCAGCGAAGCAGCTCTCGTGCCGACTGTTAATTCGTCGCGTAGTGACCCGCAAATTGCGCGTCCGTCCTCCAATAGCAGAGTAGAAGCACCTATTCCCGCCGCGATTCGAGCGTCCTCCTCCTTTGGCTGGCGCCCAGCCGCTGCAGTACGCTCCAATCCGAGTCAGCTTATATCGAGGCTTCCAACTCGCGCTTACGGCAGCGAATCAGGACTGCCACGTGGAAGGATCTCATTAACAACGGGACAGCGCAGTAACATCGGGGCAGGCGTGTCAGCAAGAGCAGCAGCTGGAGGAAGGGTGGAAGGCGGAGGAGAAGGAGGAGCAGAGGGAGCGGCAGATGCGGTGGGGGAGAGTGATGTTGAAGCAGCTGTTCTCGCTCACCCGCAACGTCGATTAGAGGTCTGCCCCAGTCTCGAAATACCCCTTCCTCTCGCTCCCACCCATCAAAGGCGTTTCAAAGGTCGACAAAATATGCTCTGACTCGCTCGCATTGTGAGCCGCCTCAAAAGCTCGCCCTGCCGCTCTCCCTTTTCCCTACCGTTGAATCCTCCACAGCCCCCCTTTCCCTTCCCCTCCACCGGCTGCTCTGCTGCTAGCAGCGCTGCTGACAGTATCCCTGGGAGTGGCCAACCGAGTGCCATACAATCCGAGACCCTCTTTCTCATGCCCTCTTTCTCATGCCCTCTTTCTCATGCCCTCTTTCTCATGCCCTCTTTCTCATGCCCTCTTTCTCATGCCCTCTTTCTCATGCCCTCTTTCTCATGCCCTCTTTCTCATGCCCTCTTTCTCATGCCCTCTTTCTCATGCCCTCTTTCTCATGCCCTCTTTCTCATGCCCTCTTTCTCATGCCCTCTTTCTCATGCCCTCTTTCTCATGCCCTCTTTCTCATGCCCTCTTTCTCATGCCCTCTTCCTCATCCCAGTTCTCTCACAGGTACGCCCTTCCTCATCCCAGTTCTCTCACAGGTACGCCCTTCCTCATCCCAGTTCTCTCACAGGTACGCCCTTCCTCATCCCAGTTCTCTCACAGGTACGCCCTTCCTCATCCCAGTTCTCTCACAGGTACGCCCTTCCTCATCCCAGTTCTCTCACAGGTACGCCCTTCCTCATCCCAGTTCTCTCACAGGTACGCCCTTCCTCATCCCAGTTCTCTCACAGGTACGCCCTTCCTCATCCCAGTGCTCTCACAGGTACGCCCTTCCTCTTCTCGCGTGCATGCGCCTTCCCACATGTGCCTTCGCACATGTGCCTTCCCCTTAACACCTGGCTTGTGAATCGACTCGAAAGGCACATGCCTGGAGTCCACATCCCAGTGCTCTCACAGGTATGCCCTTCCCTTCCCTCTTTGCTGTCGCACTGCACCGCACACAACCTCTGCGTTCCCCACTCTTCGCCCTGCAGGTCTTCCTGGTGTGGCAGGTCACCTTCACTTATCTCTTTCTCTACTTTCTTCAACCCTCTCTGCCGTTTTGCACCGCACACAACCTTGCCATTCTGCAGGTCTTCCTGGTGTGGCTGGCAGGTCACCCTCTCTTATCTCTCTCACTTCTTTCTTCAACCATCTCTCCCGCTCTGCACCGCACACAACCCCTGCAGGTCTTCCTGGTGTGGCAGGTCACCTTCTCTTATGTCTTCCTCGGCCGCTGCTACTCGCTACAGCAGCTTCTGGGATGCTTCCTCGTGATCGTGGGGGTTGCCGTGGTGGTGATCACAAGGTACTGCAGACGCATGTGGTGACACGTCATGCCACGTCATGCCACATCTTGCCATGCCATGTCATGCCACGTCGTCTTACGTCATGCCACATCATGCCACGGTATGCATGGCACATCCCTCGTCCTGTCGTGCCACATCATGCCTCGATGTTCATGCCATTGCATGACTACCATGTCCAGTGGTAATAGTCATGGTACGGTACCCTCTGCCGCTGTTGCTTCATTCCCTTAGTAATAGTCCTTACTTGTACGACCACCACCAGTATACGACTATTACAATGGCATTTCACCTGTGGGAATGGATACTCAACCTCCTCCCATTCTTCCTTCCTCCCCCCAACCCAACTTCTTCCGACCCTTCCCTCTCCCTTGCCTTACCCCGCTTCCCGTCCCGCTCCAATCCCACCGCACTGCACCGCAGTGGACCGCCATTGCATATTGTATCCACGTTATTAGCTTCTCTGCTAGCTGCAACACCGATCCAGTGGCCCCTCCTCTTCCTATTGTCCACTGTTCTTCCAGCAGCATCCTCTGTTCTTAAGGTGAGATTCTTTCCCCGCTGCGAGTCCATTGCGCCTTTCCTCTATTACTCAAGCCTTTTGTTTCTATCTCAACCATTCTATCTGAGAAAAGGCCTTTTCCATCGGCCCCCCAACTAGTTCTTTTGCAGCATTTTATGTTTTAGGGCAACCGTTGAGTCAACCGCGAAGTCATTCATGAAGTCATTCACGCAGCACAACTTGGTGTTTAGGTGACTTTTGAGTCGACTCAAAAGTCACCTCGTTTCAGGGCAACCCTTGAGTCAAGTCAACCACGAAGTCATTCACGCAGCACAACTCGGGTGTTCTCTCTCCACGCTTCTGCTCACTCACCTTCGCCCTTTGATTCCTTGTTTCTTCTTCGAAACTGCTTGCTCTGCTCTGATCAACAGGAGCGTGTCTTTTGAGTCGACTCAAAAGTCACCTTCGCCCTTTGATTCCTTATTTCTTCTTCGAAACTGCTTGCTCTGCTCTGATCAACAGGAGCTTGTCTTCCGAGATTCGGCCAAGAAGCTCAACGGCACTTCTGAGATGCTATTCTTTGTGTTTGCGTCCCCTTCCCTCCTCACCTGCACTTTTCCCATGTATGTCCCGTCTTTTTCTTCTGATCAACAGGAGCTTGTCTTCCGAGATTCGGCCAAGAAGCTCAACGTAAGCCTCACCACCACATCCCACATCCCACATCCCTAGTAAAAAGCCCAGCTTATTTGTGAGGCGTGGAAAAGATCAAGCCAGGGGGTTGGACAGTGAGTGGTCACAGGACTTGGCCTCTATGCTGATATGTCACACAAGCAGCCGACCTCTGTAAATGTGAACCATCGTGTTCCATATCACATATCACATATTACATTTCACGTCCGCATGTGCACGCATATGCAATGTTCCATGCCAAGCCTTCTCATCCTGCCCCACCACACCACACCACACCGCACAACACCACACCACACCACACCACACCACACCACAGGGTCGCTCGTTGGACATCTTTGTTGTCAACACCTTCGGATCAGCCTTCCAGGTGCTCCCTCCTCTGCCCTTCGTTTTGCGAATTCGCCCCTTCAGCCTTCCAGGTGCTCCCCCTTTCGACCCTCTATTCGCAGATTCTCCCGTTCATTTCCCCCCATTCTCACTTTTCCTTTCATTTCCCTCCTTTTCCTTCCGTCTTCTTTCTCCCTACCCTCCTCTCTTAGTACACTAAGATGCTCCAACAGAAATACCTCTTCCACCTCTTCCACCTCTTCCACCTCTTCCAGCTCTTCCAGCTCTCATACCCGTTTCCCGGGAGTTTTTGAGAATTCTCAAAAAACAGGGAGTTTTTGAGAATGCAGGGAGTTTTTGAGAATTCTCAAAAACTCCCTGCTTAGTACACTAAGATTTTCCAACAGACATACCTCTTCCAGCTCTTCCACCTCTCATACCCGTTTCCCCATCTCCTTCCCCTCATCTTCTCCTACTGATCCACGGATCTCCTCATTTGGGGCGATTCTTGAGGTGTCTTTTGAGTCGACTCAAAAGTCATGAGTCGACTCAAAGGTCACTCTCATGCCCTTGTCCCCATCTCCTTCCCCTCATCTTCTCCTACTCATCCACGGATCTCCTCATTTGGGGCGATTCTTGAGGCGTCTTTTGAGTCGACTCTAAGGTCACTCTCATGCCCTTGTCCCCATCTCCTTCCCCTCATCTTCTCCTACTGATCCACGGATCTCCTCATTTGGGGCGATTCTTGAGGCGCCTCATCATTCTACTGTTTCTTTTGTGTCCTGCTCGACCGGCAAAAGTATAAACTGCTTTTGTTTTCTTCTATCGCTTTTGAGAATTCTCAAAAGTGGCAAAAGTTCCTCGCTTGGCAACACCACTTTGATCTTTTACAAGGCAACTCCTGAGTCGACTCCGAATTCACCCCTCTCTCTATTTATTAGACTTCTCAGAATCTGAATCCCCCACATCCTCATTCTAAGTACAGGCGCTTTTCATCCTCATCCCCCTGCCGCTCGCTCATCTCCTCCCTGGGTACACACCATTGCAACTAAGTGACATTTGAGTTGACTCAATGCCGGATCTACTTCTTCTCCTCTCCTGCCGCCCTTCCCACCACCACAGGCGCCATTCATCCTCATCCCCCTGCCGCTCGCTCATCTCCTCCCTGGGTACACACCATTGCAACTAAGTGACATTTGAGTTGACTCAATACCGGATCTACTTCTTCTCCTCTCCTGCCGCCCTTCCCACCACCACAGGCGCCATTCATCCTCATCCCCCTGCCGCTCGCTCATCTCCTCCCTGGGTACACACCATTGCAACTAAGTGACATTTGAGTTGACTCAATACCGGATCTACTTCTTCTCCTCTCCTGCCGCCCTTCCCACCACCACAGGCGCCATTCATCCTCATCCCCCTGCCGCTCGCTCATCTCCTCCCTGGGTACACACCATTGCAACTAAGTGACATTTGAGTTGACTCAATACCGGATCTACTTCTTCTCCTCTCCTGCCGCCCTTCCCACCACCACAGGCGCCATTCATCCTCATCCCCCTGCCGCTCAACTCCTCTCTGGGTATACACCATTGTGGCCTAGAGAGGAGCTAACCCTGTTGTCTTTTGAGTCAACTCAACAGCTGACCCACTCTTCCCTCTCCTGCCGCCCTTCCCACCACCACAGGCGCTTTTCATCCTCATCCTGCTGCCGCTCATCTCCTCTCTGGGGTACAGAATCCCTCCTGCGCAGCTTCCAGGCTACTTCCGGGAAGGTGCCGCGTGCCTTCTCAACGTCAACCAGGCCGTACCAGGTGCGTTGGCAGTTAGATGTGAATGGATCGCAGCTATTATTCACATAGTCAACTGCTATTGTTTTCCCACTCGAGCCTTCAACATCCCTCTGATGCAGCTGCTCTTCTTGTTCCTCCTCCTCCGCCTGCTGGCAGCTGCCTGCTGGCTGCTGGCTGCTGGCTGCTGGCTGCTGGCTGCTGGCAGCTGGCTGCTGGCTGCTGGCTGCTGGCTGCTGGCAGCTGGCTGCTGGCTGCTGGCTGCTGGCTGCTGGCTGCTGGCTGCTGGCTGCTGGCTGCTGGCTGCTCTCTCTGCTTGAATCCGCTCCTTCCCATTCCTTTCGAGGCGCCTCAAAAGTCGTCTCATTACCTGCGATTTTGAGGCGCCTCAAAAGTCAACATCCCTCTGATGCAACTACTCTTCTTGTTCCTCCACCTCCGCCTCCGTCAACCCAGCCTTCAACATCTCGCTGCTGGCTCTTCCTGACTCCACTCCCCCCGTTCCCCCTCACTTCTTCATTCTGCCGCCCTTTCCCCCTCGCCTCCAGGCTGTCAGGGAGCCCCACTCCTCCCGCTGCTCCCATTCCCCCTTCCACCGCACCCCACCTTGCCGCTCCTCCCCGTTCCTCTCTTCTCTCTTCCCTTTCCCCAATCTTACCAGGCTGCCAGGGAGCCCCACTCCTCCCGCTGCTCTACGTGGCAGCGAACCTAGCGTTCAACGTCTCCCTGCTGGCTCTGCTCAAGAAGTCGTCTGCAGTGGCGGCATCTCTCTCCATGACCCTCGTGGGTGAGTAGTGAGTGAGAGGGCATTCTACGCACACGTGCGCGCTTGCTCATGTCTCGCTGCTTATTCTGCTCAAGAAATCGTCTGCAGTGGTGGCATCTCTCTCCATGACCCTCGCAGGTAGTGAAGTGAGGTACATGCATGGATGCACATGCACATGCACATGCATGGATGCACATGCACATGTACACATGGACACCACTGTTGGTGGGATAGCTGCTAACACCCTTGCGATCTCTCCTCCGTTCCCCTTCTCCCCCCCTCCCGCCCTCCCCAGTGCCCCTGACAGTGTGGGCATTCACATCCCCCCTGCCCCTACTGGGCCCGCCCCAGCCCTTGAGGGGGGGTGTTGTTGGTCGGAGCCCATGTGCTACGGTTGCAAGTATTGCTGATCCTCCAAACCTCTCTTCCCATTCCTCCCTCTTCTCCCCCTCCCCCCTCACCACCCCTCCCCAGTGCCCTTGACAGTGCTCGCTCGCATTCACCTTCCCCCTGCCCTTGCGAGGCCCGCCCCAGCCCCTGAGGGGGGGCGTCGTGGTGGGGACCCTCGTGCTCCTTCTGTGGGCATCGTTCAAATCTCTCGTCCCATATCTCCCCTCTCTCTCTCCCCCCAGTGCCCCTGACAATACTCGCATTCACCTTCCCCCTGCCCCTGCGAGGCCAGCCCCAGCCTCTGAGGGGGGGCGTTGTGGTGGGGACCCTCGTGCTGCTTCTGTGGGCATCGTTCAAATCTCTCGTCCCATATCTCCCCTCTCTCTCTCCCCCCAGTGCCCCTGACAGTACTCGCATTCACCTTCCCCCTGCCCCTGCGAGGCCAGCCCCAGCCTCTGAGGGGGGGCGTTGTGGTGGGGACCCTCGTGCTGCTTCTGTGGGCATCGTTCAAATCTCTCGTCCCATATCTCCCCTCTCTCTCTCCCCCCAGTGCCCCTGACAGTACTCGCATTCACCTTCCCCCTGCCCCTGCGAGGCCAGCCCCAGCCTCTGAGGGGGGGCGTTGTGGTGGGGACCCTCGTGCTGCTTCTGTGGGCATCGTTCAAATCTCTCTTCCCATATCTCCCCTCTCTCTCCCCCCCCAGTGCCCCTGACAGTTCTCGCCTTCACCTTCCCCCTGCCCCTGCGCGGCCCGCCCCAGCCCCTGAGGGGGGGCGTTGTGGTCGGAACCCTCGTGCTGCTGCTGGGGCTGGCTGCTTACAGCCTTGCCAATCCTGGAAGCACGGGAGGGGGAGGGGGAGGGGGAGTGAAGTTGGCAGGAGGCGGAAAGGAAGAATAGGTGTGTTGTGGTCGGAACCTTCGTGCTGCTGCTGGGGCTTGCTGCTTACAACCTTGCCACGCCTGGGGGAGCAGGAGGGGGGTTGAAGTTGGCAGCAGGGAAGGAAGACTAGGTGGTTAAGGGAAGAGGGGGGGAGGCTCAACCCCATCCCCTGAGAGCAGGGGTGATGTGGTGGGAACCCTAGTGCTGCTCCTGGGGCTGGCTGCTTACAACCTTGCCAAGCCTGGGGGAGCAAGAAGGGGAGTAGGAGGGGGAGCAGGAGGGGGAGCAGGAGGGGGAGCAGGAGGGGGAGAAGGAGGGATGTTGAAGTTGGCAGCAGGGAAGGAGGGCTAGGTTGGATGGGAGGCTGCCAACTTCCACAACCTAAGTTGGCAGCAGGGAAGGAAGTTGGCTGTGGGAGGAAGGCTCAGCCCCTGCCCCTGAGGGGGGACGTTGTGGTTGGAAACCTCGCGCTGCTGCTGGGGCTGCAATAGACAGGTGAACGGGAGGGGGGTTTGAATTGACAGGTGAACGGGAGGGGGGTTTGAATTGACAGGTGAACGGGAGGGGGGTTTGAATTGACAGGTGAACGGGAGGGGGGTTGAAATTGACAGGTGAACAGGAGGGGGGTTGAAATTGGCAGGCGAGAAGGAGGACTAGGCAAGAAGGCTCTAGTGCTGCTGCCGGGGCTGGCTGCTTAGGTGGGATGGTGAAGTTGTAGCTGGGTTGTCTGCGTGCTTGCATCATTGATAGTCTTACAGGCATGAAAGGCGGAGGGGGAAGAGGAGGATAAGATAGTGGGGTCTTTAGTGTGTTGCTTGCAGTGTTGCCATGCCAGCTTTAGAGGGATCAGAAATGTGTTGTCATGAGCATGGCTTTACTGCATGTTTTGAGTCGACTCAAAACACCAGCTTTTGAGGGCTCACGAGGCACGACTCACGAGGCACGACTCACGAGGCACGACTCACAAATGTGTCATGAGCATGGCTCTATTGCAAGGGGAAAGGAGATTGTAGTTGTCGCCAACGAGGGAATCTAATCCGGGACCAGACAAGACGAAGTCAACAATAGCTATGCTCCTCTTTTGAACATGCGACTTCCGGTTAAAAGTACAAATAACGATCCGAGAGAGAGAGAGAGAGTGCGCCGTTTTGAGTCGACCCAAGAGCCACCAAGAGAGAGTGAGCCCTGCCCTGCTGCGAGTTTTACCAACAGACAGCTCATGAGATGCCACTGCCACTGCCACTGCCACCGCCCCCGCCACTGCTCCCTACCCTCCTAGTCCTGCTCTGCTCTGCCATTCACGCCCTCTATCTAGAATGAGTGCGTGCTCAAGCCCCTACTGCCATTGCTCCCTGCCTCCTGCTAACCCTCCTCTCCCTCCTCCCATGCAGGACTCTCAAATCTTCATCGTAACACACAAGTCCCTGCTCCGAGCACTACTCTGCACTCATGCAAACTCGTGACTCTCAGGGTCCTGCCGGTGGCACTGCTGCTCCCCTCCCTCGTCCCATGTAGCGCTCTCAAATCCTGGTCGTCACACACAAGTCCCTGCTGCGAGCACTACTCTGCACTGCCCCTTGGCATGGCCCCTGACAAGTACGAGTGTTCACAAACACGCTCGGGAGGGTTACACGACTTCAGTATTTGCAGGAGCATGTTCTGAGCCTTTATTGGTTTGTTATTGGAAACGGGAAAGGAGGTTGCTTTTGGATGGGGGAGTTTTCAGAATCACGCTCAGGAGGGTTACATGACATCAGTATTTGCAGGAGCATGTTCTTGAGCCTTTATTAATTAGTTATTGGAAATGGGGAAGTGAGTTGCTTTTGGGTGGGGGGGGGGGGGGGGGGGGGGGGGTTGAGAATCACGCTTAGGAGGGTTACGTGACATCAGCATTTGCAGGAGCATCTTCTGAGCCTTAATCGTTCATTGTTCGAAAAGGAGAGGTGGGACTTTCGGGTGATCCCAGGACGGCTGGTGAGTGTGTTGTTGAGTTTGAGGTGCCTCCTGTTTCCCTGCCAGACCGCAGAAGGTTTCTCGTCTGTTCATGTTGCATCCTAGATCGTTCTGCTTACGTGTCTTCTGAGGTGCCTCAAGATTTGTCCCAGACCGTTCTGTGTACATGAGATTGTCTTTTCCTTTCTCGTTCCCTCCATTTCTAGTTCTCCCCCTGTTTTCCTGTTTCTCCATTTCTAGTTCTCCCCCTGTTTTCCTGTTTCTCCATTTCTAGTTCTCCCCCTGTTTCCCTGATTCTCCATTTCTAGTTCTCCCCCTGTTTCCCTGTTTCTCCATTTCTAGTTCTCCCCCTGTTTCCCTGTTTCTCCATTTCTAGTTCTCCCCCTGTTTCCCTGTTTCTCCATTTCTAGTTCTCCCCCTGTTTCCCTGCCAGATCTCTTTCTTGAGCTCAATCCCCTCCCTTCCATTTCAATTCCTCCTCATGTCCTACCATTCCAGCTCCCTCGTTACCTCTCCCCACCATTTCCAATCCCCCGCTTTCTTTTGAGTCGACTCAAAAGTCAACTCCTCATGTCCTACCATTCCAGCTCCCACGTTACCTCTCCCCACCATTTCCAATCCCCCGCTTTTTTTTGAGTCGAATCAAAAGTCAACTCCTCATGTCCTACCATTCCAGCTCCCTCGTTACCTCTCCCCACCATTTCCAATCCCCCGCTTTCTTTTGAGTCGACTCAAAAGTCAACTCCTCATGTCCTACCATTCCAGCTCCCTCGTTACCTCTCCCCACCATTTCCAATCCCCCGCTTTCTTTTGAGTCGACTCAAAAGTCAACTCCTCATGTCCTACCATTCCAGCTCCCTCGTTACCTCTCCCCACCATTTCCATTCCCCCGCTTTCTTTTACCCCGCTCTCGTATTCCTCCTCTTGACTACTGCTTTTGCCGTGCCAGGTTCAGAGCAATGGACGTCAACGATGGCAGCACGCGTATGGTGATGATCAACAGTTCCCTGTTCGCAATCCCCACCATTCTGGCTTCCTTATTCTCATTCCCCTCCAATTTAACTCAGGTTCAGAGCAGTGGATATCAACAATGGGGGCATGTGTGTGGTGATGGCCAGCAGATCCCTTTTCTTGGACCCCACCATTCTGGCATCCTCTTTCTTGTTCCCCATCGTTTTCTCATACCATACCAGGTTCAGGGCAATGGATGTCAACAACGGGGGCATGTGTGTGGTGATGGTGAACAATAGAGGCGAGCCCATGGTTGAGAGTCTCAATGTCACGGCACATCTATAGTCTCATGCAATTAATTACCGCTTCAAATAATAGAGGCAAGTCCATGCTTCAAGCCTATATCAGTGTGATTAGTTGCATGTGTTGAGTATTGAGGATTGCTCAGCCCAACAGTATGCAACCGATTACGCACTTCAAATACCGTACTACAGGCATGCCGCATTACCAATTCTGGATGGTACTGCAATATTACCGTTGCATGCACTACTTCAAACATTAGGTTGATGGAGGGCTGTCCGTAAAATTTCCTGTACTTTTACAGCTAGCCAAATCCCTGAAACCCTTGCACATATAAGCTGTCTTTCATTGTGGTATGTGGAATTAGTGTAATGCTGCAAATTATACGACATTACTCATACCTACTCACGATTTGGGAATAACGTAATACCACGTGATGGAAAGGCCAGCTCATATCGCATACCTCGGGTCGTGTTCACATACGGGGGCTCGAATCTGTCATGTCGTCCGATATTTTAAAGGAGGGTCAGAATCAAACCTTTTTAGCACCGAATTCCGTAGAGCAGCGGATGTCTTCGTGATGACACGATGTGTAATCAAGACTTCGGAGTGAATCACCTAGAAACCCGTCGACTTGTGGAGTACGCTGTGAGTGACTGAAAGTCTGAGTTTCGACGTCATCCTGGCGTGGCATCGTTTTTCGACGAAACGTCGCGCCCCCCACGTAGGCAACAAGTTATCTCGACGAGAATCGCTAAACGTTCGCGAGATTTTCAGCCATTTCCAACATTCGCGATTTTTTCAGGCATTAGGGGGTTGCAAGCCTCATAGACATAGTTTGTCTACGGGGCGTCCGGTTGGCTGTCCGGATCAACAGTCTTGGTCACAGATTTTGCTCGGACATTAGAGCCCGGTAACGATCTAAACTGGGGGACCTGTTTATGTAGGAATAATCGTTGCTCGACGAGCCAATACTCTAGCATTGTGACGCGTATTTTTCCACGCCAAGGGCCTAATTTGGAGGGACATCCGTCGCACTGACATCCGTCGCACTTAATCCGCTTACCTCCCGCACTGATTCGCTAATCTTCCGCGGTTACGCCTTCAAATGGCGCATGCCGCAGCTGCCGCTGCCATCCGCTGTCGTGGCATTCCAGTTTTCACGGCAATTTCTAGGCCAGCGGCAATTCCAACGCGAGCTGGCGTAAACAGAGCCACAATCGGACTAGGCTCTCGATTCAGTCACATGCCGTACCAAAACCGCCACGTGTCACGCAGACAAGAGCGCGCCCCATTGGCAAAGAGGCATGGTCGAAGCGCGGCAGCAGTATCAGCAAGAGCAGCAGCCGGAGGAAGGGTGGAAGGGGGAGGAGGAGAAGGAGGAGGCGAGGAAGCAGGAGATGTGGTAGGGGAGGAGATTGATGGTAGGGAGGTGAAGCTAGGAGGGCCGACGACCGCAGCGGGGGACGAAGCAGCTGTTCTCGCTCGCCCACAGCATCGAGTAGAGGTATGCTTGTCCCTCTGCACACCCCTTCCTCTCGTTTCCTCCCTTTGAGGCGCTTCAAATCTCGAAGCAGCTGTTCTCGCTCGCCCACAGCATCGAGTAGAGGTATGCTTGTCCCTCTGCACACCCCTTCCTCTCGTTTCCCCCCCTTTGAGGCGCTTCAAATCTCGAAGCAGCTGTTCTCGCTCACCCACAGCATCGAGTAGAGGTATGCTTGTCCCTCTGCACACCCCTTCCTCTCGTTTCCTCCCTTTGAGGCGCTTCAAATCTCGAAGCAGCTGTTCTCGCTCGCCCACAGCATCGAGTAGAGGTATGCTTGTCCCTCTGCACACCCCTGCTCTCTCGCTCACCCTCCCTCTCTCTTTCGTTTTCTCTCACCTAGCTCACCTCTTTCTTTGTTGCCTCTCACCCCTTTCTTCCTTGCCTCTCACACATTTCCCACTGACCTCTCACCCCTTTCTTCCTTACCTCCCACACATTTCCCACTCACCTCTCACCCCTTACCTCCTTACCTCTCACCTCCTTCCTCCTCTCGTCTGGGTGCTTCTCCCTTCCCTCCACCAGCTGCTGCTAGCAACACTCTCGGCAATATCCCTGGGGTTGAGAACTGAGTGCTCCCTCCCTTCACCCCTACCCTCCTCTCTTATCTCTTTCTCTTGCCTTACCTCTACCCCCTAATAGCAGCACTGCTGACAGTATCCCTGGGATTGGCCAACCAGGTCTTCTAAAATCTGAACCTCTCTTGACTCCTTCCTGTCTCGTTTCACCCCTGCACCCCTATCGTTACCCCTCTTCCATTCACCAACTGCTGGTACTGGCGCTGCTGACAGTATCCCTGGGAGTGGCCAAGCGAGTGTTTTACAAGCTGGCCCTCCTGCTGCTCTCTTTTTTCCTCCTTTTCAATCCCTCACAATCTCCCTTTCCCATTTTCTCAGCTCCTACTACTGGCGCTGCTGACAGTATCCCTGGGAGTGGCTAACCGAGTGCTCTACAAGCTGGCGCTCATTCCTTTGCACCGCTACCCCTTCTTCCTCGCCCAGCTCACCACATTCGGGTAAATCTAACTGCCACTGAGCGCTTTCCATAGCGTATCCCTCCGAAGCACCCCTTAAAGCCCTACCCTTCTTCCTCGCCCAGCTCACCACATTCGGGTGAGGTCAACTGTTAATCGTGTTAGTTGATTCTGCTGGCTCTCTTGGACTCTAGAAGCACCCTGCCTGATCTGAAGCACCCTTGTGCCGCTACCTTTTCTTCCTCGCCCAGCTCACCACATTCGGGTAAATCTAACCGCTTCTGTAGGCTTTCCAAGCCCAATGCATTGAAGCACCCTTTACTGCTACCCCTACTTCCTCGCCCGGCTCACCACATTCGGATAAACTTAACCTCCTCGACTCGCTTTCGTTAGCCCACTGCTCCGAAGCACCTGAACTGAAGATTCCCATTTGATTACGACGCCCTCTACTTTATCATCCTTGGCTGTTGCCCCTCTTTCGTCTATTCCTCCTTCCTAATCCCCTGTTCCCGCCTCTCCCTGCTCTCACCCACCCCCCCCCCCCCACTCCCAGCTATGTGGCCGTCTATTCCATAATCCTCCTCGCCCGCACCTCCCTCAATATAGTCACACCCGACATGCTCTCTCTGCCTAAGCGCCCCTTCATGCTCATGGGGCTGTTAGAAGCAGTGGGACTAGCTACAGGAATGATGGCTGCTGGTGAGTTGAATGACACAAGAAACCTTATGCTCATCCCATTTCTAAATGTTTCTACATGGCCCCAAAATTCACTCCTGCAGCTCCTCCATCCTCCCCTTCTGCTTCCCTGCCCTTCCCTGCTCACTTCTCCCCTATCCTCTCCATTTGCAGCGCACATGCCTGGGGTCCTTATCCCAGTTCTCTCACAGGTACGCCCTTCCTCATCCCAGTTCTCTCACAGGTACGCCCTTCCTCATCCCAGTTCTCTCACAGGTACGCCCTTCCTCATCCCAGTTCTCTCACAGGTACGCCCTTCCTCATCCCAGTTCTCTCACAGGTACGCCCTTCCTCATCCCAGTTCTCTCACAGGTACGCCCTTCCTCATCCCAGTTCTCTCACAGGTACGCCCTTCCTCATCCCAGTTCTCTCACAGGTACGCCCTTCCTCATCCCAGTTCTCTCACAGGTACGCCCTTCCTCATCCCAGTTCTCTCACAGGTACGCCCTTCCTCATCCCAGTTCTCTCACAGGTACGCCCTTCCTCATCCCAGTTCTCTCACAGGTACGCCCTTCCTTATCCCAGTTCTCTCACAGGTACGCCCTTCCTCATCCCAGTTCTCTCACAGGTACGCCCTTCCTTATCCCAGTTCTCTCACAGGTACGCCCTTCCTCATCCCAGTTCTCTCACAGGTACGCCCTTCCTCATCCCAGTTCTCTCACAGGTACGCCCTTCCTCATCCCAGTTCTCTCACAGGTACGCCCTTCCTCATCCCAGTTCTCTCACAGGTACGCCCTTCCTTATCCCAGTTCTCTCACAGGTACGCCCTTCCTCATCCCAGTTCTCTCACAGGTACGCCCTTCCTTATCCCAGTTCTCTCACAGGTACGCCCTTCCTCATCCCAGTTCTCTCACAGGTACGCCCTTCCTCATCCCAGTTCTCTCACAGGTACGCCCTTCCTCATCCCAGTTCTCTCACAGGTACGCCCTTCCTCATCCCAGTTCTCTCACAGGTACGCCCTTCCTTATCCCAGTTCTCTCACAGGTACGCCCTTCCTCATCCCAGTTCTCTCACAGGTACGCCCTTCCTTATCCCAGTTCTCTCACAGGTACGCCCTTCCTCATCCCAGTTCTCTCACAGGTACGCCCTTCCTCATCCCAGTTCTCTCACAGGTACGCCCTTCCTCATCCCAGTTCTCTCACAGGTACGCCCTTCCTCATCCCAGTTCTCTCACAGGTACGCCCTTCCTCATCCCAGTTCTCTCACAGGTACGCCCTTCCTTATCCCAGTTCTCTCACAGGTACGCCCTTCCTCATCCCAGTTCTCTCACAGGTACGCCCTTCCTCATCCCAGTTCTCTCACAGGTACGCCCTTCCTCATCCCAGTTCTCTCACAGGTACGCCCTTCCTCATCCCAGTTCTCTCACAGGTACGCCCTTCCTCATCCCAGTTCTCTCACAGGTACGCCCTTCCTCATCCCAGTTCTCTCACAGGTACGCCCTTCCTCATCCCAGTTCTCTCACAGGTACGCCCTTCCTCATCCCAGTTCTCTCACAGGTACGCCCTTCCTCATCCCAGTTCTCTCACAGGTACGCCCTTCCTCATCCCAGTTCTCTCACAGGTACGCCCTTCCTTATCCCAGTTCTCTCACAGGTACGCCCTTCCTCATCCCAGTTCTCTCACAGGTACGCCCTTCCTTATCCCAGTTCTCTCACAGGTACGCCCTTCCTCATCCCAGTTCTCTCACAGGTACGCCCTTCCTCATCCCAGTTCTCTCACAGGTACGCCCTTCCTCATCCCAGTTCTCTCACAGGTACGCCCTTCCTCATCCCAGTTCTCTCACAGGTACGCCCTTCCTTATCCCAGTTCTCTCACAGGTACGCCCTTCCTCATCCCAGTTCTCTCACAGGTACGCCCTTCCTTATCCCAGTTCTCTCACAGGTACGCCCTTCCTCATCCCAGTTCTCTCACAGGTACGCCCTTCCTCATCCCAGTTCTCTCACAGGTACGCCCTTCCTCATCCCAGTTCTCTCACAGGTACGCCCTTCCTCATCCCAGTTCTCTCACAGGTACGCCCTTCCTTATCCCAGTTCTCTCACAGGTACGCCCTTCCTCATCCCAGTTCTCTCACAGGTACGCCCTTCCTTATCCCAGTTCTCTCACAGGTACGCCCTTCCTCATCCCAGTTCTCTCACAGGTACGCCCTTCCTCATCCCAGTTCTCTCACAGGTACGCCCTTCCTCATCCCAGTTCTCTCACAGGTACGCCCTTCCTCATCCCAGTTCTCTCACAGGTACGCCCTTCCTTATCCCAGTTCTCTCACAGGTACGCCCTTCCTCATCCCAGTTCTCTCACAGGTACGCCCTTCCTTATCCCAGTTCTCTCACAGGTACGCCCTTCCTCATCCCAGTTCTCTCACAGGTACGCCCTTCCTCATCCCAGTTCTCTCACAGGTACGCCCTTCCTCATCCCAGTTCTCTCACAGGTACGCCCTTCCTCATCCCAGTTCTCTCACAGGTACGCCCTTCCTTATCCCAGTTCTCTCACAGGTACGCCCTTCCTCATCCCAGTTCTCTCACAGGTACGCCCTTCCTTATCCCAGTTCTCTCACAGGTACGCCCTTCCTCATCCCAGTTCTCTCACAGGTACGCCCTTCCTCATCCCAGTTCTCTCACAGGTACGCCCTTCCTCATCCCAGTTCTCTCACAGGTACGCCCTTCCTCATCCCAGTTCTCTCACAGGTACGCCCTTCCTTATCCCAGTTCTCTCACAGGTACGCCCTTCCTCATCCCAGTTCTCTCACAGGTACGCCCTTCCTTATCCCAGTTCTCTCACAGGTACGCCCTTCCTCATCCCAGTTCTCTCACAGGTACGCCCTTCCTCATCCCAGTTCTCTCACAGGTACGCCCTTCCTCATCCCAGTTCTCTCACAGGTACGCCCTTCCTCATCCCAGTTCTCTCACAGGTACGCCCTTCCTTATCCCAGTTCTCTCACAGGTACGCCCTTCCTCATCCCAGTTCTCTCACAGGTACGCCCTTCCTTATCCCAGTTCTCTCACAGGTACGCCCTTCCTCATCCCAGTTCTCTCACAGGTACGCCCTTCCTCATCCCAGTTCTCTCACAGGTACGCCCTTCCTCATCCCAGTTCTCTCACAGGTACGCCCTTCCTCATCCCAGTTCTCTCACAGGTACGCCCTTCCTTATCCCAGTTCTCTCACAGGTACGCCCTTCCTCATCCCAGTTCTCTCACAGGTACGCCCTTCCTTATCCCAGTTCTCTCACAGGTACGCCCTTCCTCATCCCAGTTCTCTCACAGGTACGCCCTTCCTCATCCCAGTTCTCTCACAGGTACGCCCTTCCTCATCCCAGTTCTCTCACAGGTACGCCCTTCCTCATCCCAGTTCTCTCACAGGTACGCCCTTCCTTATCCCAGTTCTCTCACAGGTACGCCCTTCCTCATCCCAGTTCTCTCACAGGTACGCCCTTCCTTATCCCAGTTCTCTCACAGGTACGCCCTTCCTCATCCCAGTTCTCTCACAGGTACGCCCTTCCTTATCCCAGTTCTCTCACAGGTACGCCCTTCCTCATCCCAGTTCTCTCACAGGTACGCCCTTCCTCATCCCAGTTCTCTCACAGGTACGCCCTTCCTCATCCCAGTTCTCTCACAGGTACGCCCTTCCTCATCCCAGTTCTCTCACAGGTACGCCCTTCCTTATCCCAGTTCTCTCACAGGTACGCCCTTCCTCATCCCAGTTCTCTCACAGGTACGCCCTTCCTTATCCCAGTTCTCTCACAGGTACGCCCTTCCTCATCCCAGTTCTCTCACAGGTACGCCCTTCCTTATCCCAGTTCTCTCACAGGTACGCCCTTCCTCATCCCAGTTCTCTCACAGGTACGCCCTTCCTTATCCCAGTTCTCTCACAGGTACGCCCTTCCTCATCCCAGTTCTCTCACAGGTACGCCCTTCCTTATCCCAGTTCTCTCACAGGTACGCCCTTCCTCATCCCAGTTCTCTCACAGGTACGCCCTTCCTCATCCCAGTTCTCTCACAGGTACGCCCTTCCTCATCCCAGTTCTCTCACAGGTACGCCCTTCCTCATCCCAGTTCTCTCACAGGTACGCCCTTCCTTATCCCAGTTCTCTCACAGGTACGCCCTTCCTCATCCCAGTTCTCTCACAGGTACGCCCTTCCTTATCCCAGTTCTCTCACAGGTACGCCCTTCCTTATCCCAGTTCTCTCACAGGTACGCCCTTCCTCATCCCAGTTCTCTCACAGGTACGCCCTTCCTTATCCCAGTTCTCTCACAGGTACGCCCTTCCTCATCCCAGTTCTCTCACAGGTACGCCCTTCCTTATCCCAGTTCTCTCACAGGTACGCCCTTCCTCATCCCAGTTCTCTCACAGGTACGCCCTTCCTTATCCCAGTTCTCTCACAGGTACGCCCTTCCTCATCCCAGTTCTCTCACAGGTACGCCCTTCCTTATCCCAGTTCTCTCACAGGTACGCCCTTCCTCATCCCAGTTCTCTCACAGGTACGCCCTTCCTTATCCCAGTTCTCTCACAGGTACGCCCTTCCTCATCCCAGTTCTCTCACAGGTACGCCCTTCCTTATCCCAGTTCTCTCACAGGTACGCCCTTCCTTATCCCAGTTCTCTCACAGGTACGCCCTTCCTTATCCCAGTTCTCTCACAGGTACGCCCTTCCTCATCCCAGTTCTCTCACAGGTACGCCCTTCCTTATCCCAGTTCTCTCACAGGTACGCCCTTCCTCATCCCAGTTCTCTCACAGGTACGCCCTTCCTTATCCCAGTTCTCTCACAGGTACGCCCTTCCTCATCCCAGTTCTCTCACAGGTACGCCCTTCCTCATCCCAGTTCTCTCACAGGTACGCCCTTCCTCATCCCAGTTCTCTCACAGGTACGCCCTTCCTTATCCCAGTTCTCTCACAGGTACGCCCTTCCTTATCCCAGTTCTCTCACAGGTACGCCCTTCCTCATCCCAGTTCTCTCACAGGTACGCCCTTCCTTATCCCAGTTCTCTCACAGGTACGCCCTTCCTCATCCCAGTTCTCTCACAGGTACGCCCTTCCTTATCCCAGTTCTCTCACAGGTACGCCCTTCCTCATCCCAGTTCTCTCACAGGTACGCCCTTCCTTATCCCAGTTCTCTCACAGGTACGCCCTTCCTCATCCCAGTTCTCTCACAGGTACGCCC